GGTCCAATTTCAGAACTATCTAAATAAGGCATACAAATTACATGTTGTAATATATTCTTACATATAAGGCATGGGATATAATTTACGATACAAAGGCAAAATAGCAAAATATATACCTTCGTTGTTAGGACCAGAAGCGACTTTAATATCATCTGGGCAACAACCAAATTCAGTTACATTACAACATCCCAAATAATCTTTTCCACTAGCTGCAGTCTCGTTATCTGGACAACATCCAAATCTACGCGGTTAAACGGATAAACGATTAATTATAAAACTATGATAATACATTGAAGAATTTACTTTATAAAAATAAATACTAACTCTGTTTCTTTACATGGTCTCTTGCATCCTTCGTAATCATTTCCTTGTGCTGTAGTAACACCATCGGGACAACAACCAAAAAGTGATTCATTACAACGTGAAGCTGGACAACCCTTGTTCTTGGGACCAACGACTGGTGACACGCCATCGGAACAGCAACCATATCGTGTCTCGTTGCATGTTTGCGGCATCGGACAACCATGACCAAATGGTCCCTGAGCAGCAGTGATATTGTCGTAGCAACATCCGAATGGTGTTTTCTTGCAGCTCTTCTTTGGTTTGCATTGCCGTTTGTGCGCCGTTGTATCTGGAAAGCTGGTTGTCCATACCTCTGTGACTGAAATTATGTTGATATTAATATAAAAAAGAAACATTTCTTTTATACTATTTGAGACTTACTTACTATGAGTTTTTTCGGTAAGATCGATTTCTTCACTGATTGTGGAGGACGTAATTTCTGTCACAATGATTTCGCCAGATACTGTTGTCTCTTCAAAAGACGATGTTGTAATTAACGATTCAGTTGTCTCGCTTGATTTAGTCGTCATAATTGACTCGGTAGCCTCCGTAATTTCCGTTTCCGTAGAAACTGTGATGGTAGCCTCACTAGATTCTGTTGCGTCCGATTCGACAATTGTGCTTGAAGTCGTAACATCATTAAATTCAGTCGTTAGTCCGGATTCTGTTATCTCAGCTGATTCCGTGCTAGTGCTGAACTCAGTTGTCTCTCTCGATTCGGTTATTTCGCTACCAGTTGTTTCAGTCTCATCCGATGAAGTCATCCCAAAAACAATAGTGTTTTCTGTACTAGTGTTAACTGTTGTAGTGTAACTCTCGTCTGTTTGACTTGATACCGTAGTTATGGCATCAGTACTCCGCATCTGTTCCTCCGAACCGAAATCGTACTCTCCTTGTATTTTCAATTCTGTTGTTTGTTGAGAAATCATTGTCATCGCTGTTTCTGCAAAATATAATTAATTTATAATTTGCTACTTTTGACTTGCTAAATTTAATTTTTCGTTTATGTAAAAAATATCTATACGCGTTTCCTCTCAAGCATTTTTATGTATAAAGATATTAAAAATCTCATAAAATACATTTGAAAGATTGTGACACATCGTCGTACATGGATATGTGTTCTAAAAATGTGTGATTTTTATATTTGATTTTAACAATTCTACTTTTTAAATTTTAACATGTTCAACAAAGCTTCAATGCAATGCTTCATGTTCCGTGATGATTAACAACGTTGCATCTTTGTCAATTTGCGAGTGACTTAAACATTATGGACATGTGAGCTAATTGTAATTGTATCATTTTTGCTGAGGAGGATTCCAAAGAAAATCGAAAGGTTCAAAATAAAAAAGACATCAATCCAACATCTGATTATTGATTGTTCACTAAATAATTGCGCCGTTTATCGTTGCTGACTCTCTCATTAGCCTATTATATTTATCTTTTTGTTTTGTTTATACATTTGAAAGATTATGAATGTACATTATTTAAATTTAAATAACAAATTGAAAATAATAAAATACAATATTTTAATTATATCGATCTCTATATTACGATATTAAATTCAGGTTATAAACTATTACTATTTTTAATATACTTACCAGATGTGATAATCCCGCTTGCAGTTGTTTCTATTGTCCCTGTTGTTGTACTCTCCGTTTCTGATGAAGATAATTCTGAAAATGTACTTGGTGGAGATTGCGTAGACTCGGTTGTGTCTGTAGATTCAGTAGTTGCTGTTGTTTCACTCTCTGTCGGATCGGTCGTTTCAGTATCGGCTATATCTGTTGTATCTGTTGTATCTGTTGTATCTGTTGTATCTGTTGTATCTGTTATATCTGTTGTTTCAGTGAATTCAGTGGTTTCTGTTGAAGTGATAGTGATATCGGTATCAGCTGATTCGTTTGTATTGCTTGTTATATCATCTGAATCGGTTGTCGTATCACTGGATTCGATTGTTGTTTCTGAATTTTTACTAACAGTTGATTCGATATCTACATTGCTAGTCAATTCGCTGGTCATGGTAACGGAATAATCTGTTGATTGTTCAGTTGTCCCTGATTCAACATAAAATTAACAAATATATGCACATAAGACAATAATGATTTTATAAATGATATATTCAACATTATGATTTAACGATGTGATTTACATACATCAATTTGGATAATAAGTATTTCAAAGACTATAATAAATTAATATATCAATTTTGGAAATATACTAATAATATCTATAATATAATATAATATAATACGATATAATGTGAGAAACATACTATCGAATTCTGATACTGAGACTTGAGTTTCTTGAGTAAATTCATCTGTGGATGTACCGGATCCTTCAAAGCTGGTACCGGATCCTTCAAGCGTTACGTCAGTTCCTTCGATGATATCCGATGATTCATTTACGTCTGTTTCGAATTCAGTTGTGCCGGTTTTGCCTTCCGTCGTAATTCCACTAACTGAACTTTCGTTCTCTTTGACAACGGTAGAACCAATATCGATAGTGCTGCCGGTGAATAAGCTAGTATCAAACATGGTAAAATTATCGTCACCACTACCTTCGCCGCTACCCAATTCGGAAAGTGATATATCGCCTCTCGTAGAATCACTAAACATAATGTCGTAAGTGTCACTTCCGGTAAATAATAAATTCGGAGTTGTTGCTTCTATTTGCTCTATTAATTTGCCCATTGTAATTTTCTGAAATGAGAAAAGGTGCTTCAATGTTACAACTATCTAATTCTTCTTGGCGAGATGTAAAATCGATAGAGTTCCGCGTTACCAAATTGTTCCACGTGTAAGGAAAGATTTATTTGAATATTGCGAATCTGACGATTCTTTGAAACGGTAAAATAATAAGAAATGAAGTTAAGAAGTAACTCAGTCTTAATATTTGATTAAGTATGATCCAGTTTTGCTTACTCCCCCAGGAAGATTGAATTCAATAGCATATTGTTCTTCTTCCTCTTCTTCCTCACACTCTTCCTCCTTCGAGTCTATCGTTTCATCTGGCTTCTCGTCGATTAGTATCACGCCTGCGTTCACCAAAATAACAAATTTACAGAAATCCTTAACATTTAAATTCTTAACACGAGGTTTTTAAAAGTATGCACATGAAAACTTGTAACATTAGATGATTCTATGCGTGCATTCTATTTATCATTAACTAGTTTCGAAAGAACATTGAAAATTTAATTTTCCTTGCTACAGAGAATAAGTGATATTTTACGGTAGGTGGTTCGTGTCGCCCTTTAGAATAAGTACTGAGATATTTGAATTTAATACCACGAACCTCATTATTTTCACGCCTGCTGTTCTAGGCATATTCTATATTTTATGCTCGTAGCCTATAATGAAAAGATTTACGTCATAATAAATCGCGTAACTTGCGTTATAATGAAGCAAATGTTAATATATTTTATGATCTGTAATGATGAAAATGACAATAACATTTGAGAGATTTTCAAAGTAAATAGACAATATCGATGATAGAATTTATTTTCTAAATAAGATAATTTAGATTTGTCAATAAAGCGATATCATTTAATGTTGTTCACGTATATATATATATA